CTGTATGGGCACAGCTGGGTATTACTTTATAGTATGTTCATTCTACTCACCGGGGTTTATGCCTAGGGTCAGACTTGGATACATGTGTAGGTTTGTGTCAGCTGTGCTAGCTAATGGATTTATTTAGGCTAATTAAGTTCATTGGCAGAACAATTGAATGGGTGGGGGAGGAAGGTATGGAGGGCAACCATGGATGCCAGGGACAATGGGGGAGGAAGATGGGACATAGCAGAGGGTGGGGGATGGGGAATCAGGGATGGCAAGACAAAGGGCAAGGTATGCAGGACGTAAGAATTGGAAAATTATTTGCTGAGAACATATATGTGGATGTACTTGATTGAGACAATGCACAGTGTATTTTGGATGGAAAATTCATTTGTGTGTTGTGATGGTGTAAAGTGAATTAATAAATAAATAAAAAAAAAAAAGAAAGAAAGCTGCCAGGTCTGGGACTCGAACCACTTTCAGTCATTGTGGGAGTCCAGCACCCTTAACTACCATGCCACCTGCTGGCCCCTGAATAGACATTTCTTAAAGGAATACATGCAAATTACCAACAAGGGAGGCCAGCCGGTGGCATGGTGGTTAAGGCGTTAGATTCCCACATGGCCAACTGTGGTTTAAGCCCAAGTCCTGGTAGCTTGAAAATCACTCTGGGTGGGTTTGCATGCATGGACTGAATCCCAAGAGAAGAGGAGAGAAGGGAGTGCAGTATGGCCATCCTCCCTAGGGGGTGGTGGGGGTGTGATTTATTTATTTATTTTTGGAGAGATTTTTGCTATAGGGCATGTGCACTTGCCACAAAGACAGAGAGAGACAGAGAGACAGAAAGCAAGAAATTACCCCCCCCAGGGGTGATGGCCACACCACAATCCCTTCTCTTCCATTCTCTCGGGATCTTGGACACACACGCACATGCGCCCAGTGTGAGTTTAAGCCACCAGGCAGCTCTTCATCTTCTGGAGCTGGGACTTGTTGTCATGGCACCAGGCCAGGCAGGTGGCTGTCTTACGCCTCTCCAGGGACTCCTCCACTTCTTTGGCAGTGAGGAACATCTCGATATTCACTAGGTCCTCAATGCCGCTCTGATGTGTCAGCTTCACGACGGTGTTATAGTAGCCACAGCGCAGCAGGTGCTCCACCATCATGCAGTCCATGCGCTTCCTTTTCCACATGCTGGCTGCTGCAGGCTGGTCACTGCCGCGCTCCTTGAGGTGCTTGATCCTGCGCTTATACAACTTAGCACTCTCGTCTTCCTCCTGGATAGACTCCGCGGCCTTTCTTTTGAGGACACTGACCTCCACCACACCATCCAAGAGGCTGACCACCGAGTCCACAGCAGGGCAGCAACTCAAGGTCTTCTCCAGCTTAGCTACCACCATGGTGATGTGACTCGTCTCCCAGCCAATGTTTTTCTGAGCAGCTCGAAAGCGTTTATTCAGTCTCATAGGGCACCTTGAGGGTCGGGTACTCCTGCACCTTCAAGGTCAAGGACAGCTGAGCGGCGGATCCTTGCACCGCCATCTTGCCTCTGCCAGACACCGGCGGGTGGGGCTCCTTTTGGGATCTTAAGTGTGCGCCTAGAGTGATTCTTAAGCTACTGGATCTGAGACTGTAATTTTATGGTTGGCTATGTGGGATCTGACTCCCTCAATTGCAAGGCCATGGAACCAGCCCTCTCTTATTTATTCTAATAATTTTTCCTGTAGAGTCTCTTGCATTATTTACATTTATATTCTCACTATCTCTTTTTGGCTCTGGTCCTGTTATTTCTATTTGAGATTATAATTGTATCCCAATATCCCAAAACTAGATTAGGAATCACTGTAAGGTATTAATACAAAGGCAGAAGGTAACCCTGTCTTGTTATTTAGAAAGAGAGAAAAATATATTTGGAAAATGCTATATATATATATGTATGTGTATATATATACACACACACACATATATAGCATTAATATATATACACATATACATATATATATATGTATGTGTGTGTGTGTGTGTCTTAGAGCACCACATGAAATAACTTATGACCTATCGTTGATTGTTACTGAGATATCTGAGGGTCTTAGAAAGCTGAATAATAGAGCAGGTTTGGAGGGTATTACATGTCTTAAAGTTAGGCAATTATCATTTAATTATTGCTACATTACTGTAATTGAACACAGTTTTAAAATACTTTATAAATGTTTAAAAGACAACAAAATCAGAAAGAAAAATAGCTTGGAAATTTGGGGCTGAAAAATAATAAAAGGTTTGCTTTTTTCTGAGTTTTTAGTAGCTAAATTATAAAGTAAATTGCAAAAAAATGAAGTTACTTAATTAAAAGTAAAAAGCCTTGTATGGAACTGAAATTTTATGGAACTGAAATTTGATAATCAAACTCATTTTTTAGCAGCAATAGCTAATTTAGGTTATTTGTCATCTACATAGTTTTATCTCAGCATTGTAAAATAGGTATTAGGTATTAGGTTGGAATTGTCGTTTCAGGGTCAGTTGATCTATCAGTGCCTGGAGGTTCTAGAGAGCTCATGATTCCTGGTGCTCCTATAAGTCCCTTTCTATAAGACTGGTATAAAATAGACATATAGATCTACATTCTTAGTATTGTTTTTGTCATTGAGTATTTGACTGCAAAGTGGAATGTTATCACTCCCTCAAAGACTAGGAACGTATTTTTTTAAAACATATTTTTAACGAATTTTAGTTCTTCATACTCCTTAGAAATGTTTCATGAGGACAGGGATTGAAATTTTTTGCCACTAATCTATCTCTAATGCCTAGAATATTATGTAATACACAGGATATGCTGTATTATTGAATGTATAAATAAATGAGTGAATGCATGTAGCAGTATTGGTAATAAAAACATTTATTTTTGGTCATTATGTTAAAAATGCTCCAGGTCTTTTGAAATATCTTTTAATCTTTTGTAATTTTGTTGTAAGAGTGTTATTTTGTATTCTTTTGTTCACCAGTAAGTAACATTTAAGGTAGGTACACTTGAAGGGATTATGAGGGCAGAGACAGAAATACTGAGGAAATTGAATAGAGGCTCAGTATACATAAATGTTCAAAATTTTTACTTTCCATTGTTCTCTTCACAAGTTCAGTTACAGCTCTCTTTGCAACAAGTGTGTATGTGAGCTGCATTATTCCAGTATAGTTACATAATTGGTGTGGCTCTGTGTGAACCTATGGGATCTGGGGCATATAATGAGTTAAGCTGTTTCTGCTAAAGTGTCATGAATGAATTGAAATACCTCTGGATTCTTGCCAGATCCACATCACCAAGACTATTCTTTATTTTAGATTCAAATATAGAGTAAGTCTTATGTGCTCAGGCATGCATATTGAATTTCTATTTTCTGAATGTACTGTAATTCGAAGGAAAACTTTTTTAAAGCATGGCAGGTAATTTACACATTACTTATAAATAACTTGCCTCAGATCTTGGATTCTTAATTGAAAATCTGCTTCTGTAATCTTACTCAGGTAAAATTTATAAAGGACTCCTTTAAATGGGTATAACTAAATTCTGGATAGATTGTTTCTATAAATACTGAAGAAAAATTTGGATAAATTATTAGAATTTACCGAATGTCTGCATCCTATGGCAGAAACTGAAATATTGGACAATATAAAGGCATGGTGAGCCACTGTGGACACCAGAGACAGTGTGGGAGGAGGGTAGGAAATGGTAGCCGGTGAGAGGGAGGGAATCAAGGGGAAAAAGTAAAGTAAAGCATTTAAGAAACACAAAATGGAAAATTATATGTAGAAGATAAAAGGTATGGTAATATCTTTGGGCCAATATTCAGTGTATACTATATGGGAAAACTCATTTTGTATGCTCTAGTGATATACAGTGAATGAATGTAAAAAAAAAGGAATTTACAAATCTCCTATGCCATTTCTCAGTATTTTGAGAGATTAAAATTCTGTAAAGCATGGTGTTGATGAAGGGACTGAGATACTGATGAACCCATAAAAGTATATTTTCTTATGGCACCATTCACATATGTATTTCTCCTTTCATCTCAATGGTAATACATGTAAAGGAAAATTTTGTTGCTGCTTAAGAAGGTCCACTAAACCAATTATTCCTAAATAAGTCTTATGACTAGGTAGTGTTTTGCACACATTTCAGAACTTTGGAATTTTTAGAAGTTGTTTTAATTGCGAAAAAAATAATTCATTTCCACTCCTTAATAATGATTTAAAAAATAATCTTTGAATGCACTCCCTACTCTAATGTCTTTTTACTGAATCTGGTAACCTAAATCAGTGTTTTAGCCTGTTTTTGCTGGGCAGTAATTTGGCTTCTTATTTTCTTTTACAGTGAACCTTTTAAGTTCTATTAGTAGTCTATTATAATACTTCTTTATATACAACTAGTGCCCCATACTGAATTTCTTATAGTTCTTCTATATATAAATTAAGAGGTTTTGATAAGGAAAATTATTTTGAAGTATAGAATACTTTAAATATGTTTAAAATTTTTTCAACAGTTATAGATTTTTAACCTTTAAGGAAATCATGAGTCTAACATTTAAAAAATTATATTTCAGGGAGAAAATCTTCATGGACTCTGTTTTAACTTTGGAGTAGAAACCCACAAGCAGAATAAATATGAAGAAAGTTCTTTCTGGCTTAGGTAATATAAACAAAATAGTGTAAATTCAATAGCATTATTGTAGAGGTCAGTTAATATTTATTGTAAAGTAGTTTAAACATTCTCTAGCTTCAAAAGCCAACATGCTAAATTTATTTACTTCTTTAATATGTATTGTCTATTTTTCTTACATATTGCCAACTGATAGAAGAATATATCTCTTCTTAATATAGCATAGGAGCATACTCCACCTCATTCCTTTTTTGTGTTTCATCACAGTATGGAAAATTTTGTTGTTGCTTTGGTACTTACTGCTGTCTGTCAACCCCAGAGTACAAAGTCAGGGAGAGAGTAGGATCAACTAAAATTATTAGTTTTAGATGAATTTTGAAATCTTATATCAGTCAAGTAAGTATGTATCTAACACTTACTGTATGTGGAGTACAATACTAAAGTTTGTACTAATAGAATAATATAGAATTATAGCAACTATATGCAAGAACTCTGTCTTTCACTAAAAACCTAGACCCAGCACAGATTCTGATACATGTACTCAAATTGTTAGTTAAATGAATTTATGTGAGAAGTGTATTTTTCTGCAGATGTCATGTAAAGTGCTTTGAATATAAAGGATTCTACAGTAAAATATACCAAGTCAATTTACTAAATGTCTATCCTTTCTTAGTACAAGGTTATTTCTATTTTTATTTATAATCTATGATTATTTTAACTGCAGTCTAACTATTGTAAAATTACTTTTGTCATTTAAGGAAATAAATACAAATGTGGTCATTGAGATCATAGTACTCACAGGCATACATACACAAACACACACAAGCACACAGACACACATATATATATAATAAAATGTTTCTGCACATAACTCATTTAAGTAAAAGAATTTTTAGAGCCCATAGACTGATCAAACTGATCAAAAAACTATTCCCGGGGGCTGTCAGGTGGCATGGTAGTTAAGGTGCCGGACTCCCACATAGTCGACCATGATTCAGGTCCTGGTCCTGGCAGCTTGCTTTCTCATTTTCTCTTTCTCTTTCTCTGTTTCTAGTCAAATAATAAAAAACAAAATTCAAAATAACAAATTAAGTAAATAATTTAAGAAAATAAAGAACTGTGCCTGATAGAACAGGCTTATGCAGTATATGCTTGTCTGCTTCACATAATTGGAATATACCACTAATTTTTATTTTAAATAACAATTTTTGAGAGTTTTTTTTATTTTATTTTTATTCTTTTTGCTATAGGGCTCATGTGCTTGCCAGAAAGACAGAGAAAGACAGAGAGACGGAAAGTGAGAAATCACCCCCTGGGATTTACTTCATTCATTTTGATTTATCTAGTGCCGGGGGGGGGGCCCCCCCCCCCCCCCCCCGCAATCCCTTTTCCATTCTCCTCTCAGGATTTTGGGCACACACGCACACGTGCCCAGCATGAGTTTAAGCCACCAGGTCCGGGATTTGAAATGTAGTCGACTACATGGAAGTCCAGCAACATAGCCATTATGACAAATGCTGGTCCTTAAATCACAATTTTTTTAAATTGAACTATTCAAAATATATCAAAGAATTCATCAGTTTAGCATGTTTTTTTTCTTTTTATTTCCTTTTTCTGTTTCTTTTAAATGCTTTTCTGTAGGGCATGTGTGTTTGCTGGAGAGAGACAGAAAGAGACAGTGAGAAGGAAAGTGAGAAATCTCCTAGTAGGCATGGGCTTACTACTATCCTTTCTCTTCCATTCTCCCCTCAGGATTTTGGGCATACATGTACACATGCCTCATGTGATTTTCAAGTCACAAGGTCTGGATCTCGAACTGTGGTTATTCATGTGGGAGTCCAGCACCTTAACCACTGTCACCTACTGGCTCCCAGCACAGGTTTTTACCACAAGTTTCCTTTATTTTTTAATTTTATTTATTATTATTATTTAAATTTGTTATAGGGCACATGCATAAGAGAGAAAGAGAAAGAGAGAAAGTGAGAAACCAAGCTGCCAGGTCCAGAGCTTGAACTGTGATCAATCATGTGGGTGTCCAGCAACTTGACCACTGTCCAGCATCCTGACCACTATGCTCCCTGCTGGCCCCAACCACAGGTTTTTTTAAAAATGAACAACCTTATGCAAAGAGCATGATGAGTGAGTTCTGTTTTACAATTTGACAGTCTCGGAGGGCAGAGAACTCAAAAGTTTATGGTATTAACCTACCAAAAAACTGGTATGCCAAGAAGGCAGGAATTGGGAAGCAAAAAAATAAATAAAAGCTAGTGCTATGGGTGACTTTTGGAAAATTAAGACTGGAGGTGAGCTTGAAGTTTATACCAAGGATGAGGGTTAACTAAGAGTATTGAGTGGGGCTGGCAGGTGGCATGGTGCTTAAGGGTGCTGGACTCCTACGTGACTGGCTGTGGTTCAAGTCCCAGACCTGGTGGCTTGCTTTCTCACTTTCCTCTTCTCTCTTCTCTCACTCTGTCCCTCTCTGGTCAAATTAAAATAAATAAATAAATAAATAAAGTTAAATAAAATATTTTTTTTAAAAAAAGAGTATTGGGAATAAGTGTTCTCTAGGAACTGGTCATAAGTGTAGGCTAAGGCTTGTAGTGGCATGACATGTAGGCCATTTTCACATGTCATGGGTTCTTGGTTTCTTATCTGTTATCATTTAAAAATAAAATCTTACAGAAGGAAAATATGATGATTGAACATTACTGCCACCCATATCATAAGCTAACTAGATCAGATTTTTACTGTATTTAATGGCTATATTTGGAGAAATGTAATTTGACCCACCATAATATTTTAATTAAAAAGTAATAAACTTATAGAGCATCATTATGAGTGTCTTATGTTCTTATCACTAAAATGATACTAGAAAAAAACAGGAAAAATTTGAATTTTTCTCTTTCTCTGTTTATCGTTATTTTTATTATTTTAATCATTGTTCATCTTTACAGCATACAAAATGAATTTTGCCACCTTGAATACACTGCATATTAGTCCAGTCGGATATTATCATATACGTTATTATCAGCAGGCAATTTCCCATTAATTTTTTCTTTTTTTAAGAATTATTTTATTTAACTTTATTTATTTAAATTTGATGAGAGAGAGAGAGAGAAAGAAAGTGAGAAAGCAAGCAATCCGGTCTGAGACTCGAACTGCAGTCAGCCATGTGGGAGTCTAGCGCCCTTAACTACCACACTGCCTGCCCATCCCCCCTGCCCCACCCCAGGTAATTGATTTAGTTGGCTTTGCTGAAACCTTTTATAAGGGACTTCAGATTAGACTCTTTTTTTATTTTTATTTTTTATTATCATCATAATCTTTATATTACATTGGGTTACATATAACTTTACAGTGTATTACATTGTTTTTTCAAAAGAGAATGCCATGCATGTCAGTCAATACAGAGACATTAATCTCCCCACTTCATCATTCAATATCTTTTCTAAAAAGCCCCCCAAGGTTACTGAGCCAAGTCAGGAATCTACCATCTGACTGAACCTTTAAGTACCTGTACTTGAGAGTTTCTTGGGCCTGTCAGAAAGTGACATTCTTTACCTACCTGCCAGGCAGAACTGCTTATGGTACCAGGCAATCCTTCCAAGAGCTCCTGTTGGCTTTCTTGAGATAAGCCTTATTTCCCTAGCTTTCTGGTCATGTGTTCAGATATGATGTTCAACTCAAAGCCCTGGCAATAACCAGTGTTTCCAATTCCTGATGTAAGGCAGCAGGTACTATTGAAAATATGCAAATAACTCTACTGTCACAACATAAGAATACTCATAAATACTTTTCAATTTTGGAGGGGTCAGAAAGGGAGAGAAGTTTATGTTTAAATTCTGTTTTTTTTTAAAAAATTCATTTTTAACAAATGGCTGGAGCTATCAACAGCTCAAAAGGAAACAAAAATCCTTAAATCTGGAAAACAAAGCATAGAAAAAATCAGTAATGTTTTAGTCAAAAGTCATAAAATTCTGTTTCACCAGTTCAGTCTCATGTAATTAATCTTTTTTTTAAAGAATTATTTTATTTAACTTTATTTATTTTAATTTGACCAGGAAGTTACAGAGTGAGCGAGCGAGAGAGAGAGAGAGAGAGAGAGAGAGAGAGAAAATGAGAAAACAAGCCGCCAGGTCTGGGACTCGAACTGTGGTCGGCTATGTTGGAGTCCAGCAACCTTAACCACCACGCCACCTGCCAGCCCCATCATGTAATTAATCTTTCTCCTGTTGAGTTTGCAGTGTTACTGTGATCTGATCTTTCTATTTAAATCCTGGAATTTCAGAAATATGATCTCAATGTTATAAAAAAACCTATATTCAAGAGTACTTACATTACAAAAAAAGTACTTATCAGAGTCTTTTTCACTAATTTCCTTAAGAAGCAGGTTTTTTTTTTTTTTTGGAGAGGTTTTCGCTATAGAGCGTGCGCGCTCGTCAGACAGACAGAGACATAGAGACAGAAAGCGAGAAATCACCCCCCAGGGGGGATGGTCACGCCGCAATCCCTTCTCTTCAATTCTCCTCTTGGGATCTTGGGCACGCATGCACACACGCCCAGCGTGAGTTTTAAGCCACCGGGTCAGGGACGTGAACCGCGGTCAACTACATGGGAGTCCAGCGACATAGCCATTATGCTAACTGCTGGTTACCAAGAGGCAGTTTTGAATAGTAGCCTATTACAAAATATTTTAGAAAGGGCATCAGAGTAAAGCAATGGACAATGAAATTTAAAATGGCCATGGTTTGAGACTCTGATTTTATAGTAACCCAAAATTGACAAATTTGATCATTTCTGTGACAAACTACATTAGAACTATTTAGCATTACAAGTGTGACTAATAACATACTAATATTAAGAATCTCATACAATTTTGGAACATCCATTGACACAAATTTCTATACACAGGGCTAAACACCATTTCTTATTTGACAATGTTTCCCATATAATTTCAACACTTTAGAAAGACAAAATTGTCTTTTTTTAAAAAATTGTAGCAATACTCAGTATTTTTTTTTAGCAGAAGT